ATCTATATATTATATATATATATATATATATATATATATATATATATATATATATATATATATATACTAGCAGTTTGTGAGTGAAAATGTAAAAATGTAGATTTTTTTTTTCAGTATAGTTTTGATAAAATAATGGATATACTGTAATGAATCCTGTGTGAATTTTGAGGACAACTGACTTGATACATCCACTAACAATCATCAAAACAGCAGCTGATTGAAAATAATTGAGCAACACTGATGAAGAAGATTCTTCTTAATTTTTTGCAATTTGATATTTTCATGCAATTTGATATTTTCTTATCAAATGCAATGGCATCCAGACATTTGGTACCATTTAAGTTTATTTTTCTTGACAAAACTTTAAAGCCTGAAGTGATTTTGGTGCCTTTTGGTTAACTTTTGGATTGCATATGGTTTTTCTGATTAGAACATGATTTTAACTATATTTTATTTCAAATTGCATATGATTGACACTGGTGAGTGGTGAACTGTTGTACGAGAGTAAACTATTTACTTGGAATTGAATGCAGCATAATTAGAATAAATTGAGTCTTATTATCACATTGGCCCACAATTTGAACTTGGCCACCAATCCATAACAGAATATCATTCATAAGTTCTCAACCATTAGTTGAGTCATTAGTTTGTGTTTGTATGTCTTTGAAAATGGTTTTGCATGACGTAACATTGATGTCCATTCCATCTAATCCTGATGTCTTTTGTGAGAGAGAGAGAGAAAGAAAGAGAAAGGAAGGACAGTTATGCTGAAATGCGGAGGTTAAACGTATGTTAACAGTTTCTTATGATTTGTTGCTGCGTTTATTGACTAGTGACCATGTTTCTGATTTAATGTAGTCCAGTTATGAATGTAACAAGTTTGGTGATGCATAACTAATGTAAAGATTGTGTGATATTGTTCACAACGTAGTTTGGGTGTTAGTTGTGAAGTCATGTTATTTATCCAGGTAAACAACTATTGAGATTTATGGATTGATTAGTATCAGAGAGGGTTAATAATTTTCTTTGGGGTCTTTTCATAATGTTCTTTGTGTGTTTAATCCGCCTGTATAATTTCTCCTGGTTTGAGGTTGAATCTAATCTTTGTTTCTCTGCAAACTTTAATCTGCTCCATACGGCTGGTGTTTCTATTAGTCCTCTCAGCTTTTGCTGGGTTAGAAACCCAGTAGCTGGGTGATACTGGAAAATCGTCCCTGTTAAGCATGTTAAACGAGCTGGGCTCATCTGCTTTCTGCTCAGAGACCCTCAGAGTGAGGACTGACGCCCGGCATCCAGAAAAACCCTTCACAACACTGTGAGGATGCACGAGGCTTAGCAGTTTGATAGAGTATTAACAGTTTGATTATGAGATGCTGTCTACGTTTTATGGTGGATTTTATGACTTAAAAGGTTTTACATTTTATTTAAACAGACTAGTTTTAGAAACTAGAAAAGAATCTCATGAAATATGTCCAGGTCGCATTTCACCTCAAAACCATAACACTCAAAATCAAATTCTCATTATTTTCAATAATAATTCTCATTAGGTTCTCTTTTTGTAATGCAGTAATTGCTGTTAAACAGCATTAATTTTGTATTGTAAATAATTCTTTATTTTGTTGATTTAAAATTGTTAATTGTTTAATATTAAAATATTTTATTTTATTTATATACATTCAAAAATATTTTATTTTTAAATTGTTTTATAATAATAATTTATAATTTATATATGCACATATTATGCATAATATTATATACATTAATAAAAATATAATACATTTGTTTATATAGTGTATATATATATATATATATATATATATATATATATATATAT